GGTGGTCAGTAGACTAGCAGAATCCCCAAACTATCCCTGGTCTTCAGGCTCAGGTACATACAGGCTCAAGGCAGAAGCCAGACTAGTTAGTCTCTGGGTTTGTCTACACTGTCCAAAAACCCCCAACTCAGCTTGTGTTTAATACAATATGTTTACTTAATGTACAGCCTGATTAGCAGCAAATCCGCTCCTTATGACCCTAAATCCTCTTTTGAAAACTCCCAGGTTACATCACTAAAGGGCCAATGTTGCATACCACCTGCTCCTCAGGTGAGCTGGACACTGGTGGGGAAGGGAAACAATCATCCCTGGCCCCCACTTACAGAGCCCTGCTGTTGACACATCACTTGTCTAGTGTCAGAATGGCACACTGAGCCATGTGATCAACAAGGAGGTGTTGCTCTACCCCCTCTTTGTTGATCACATGGCTGGGCACTCCATTTTTGGCCTCCCCAGAAGTAACATCACCGGCAAGGCTCTGCTGCCAGGAGGCTGTTTTTGTGACCAGTGAGGTAGCAGAAGTGGTGGTCTTTAGGACAGGGCACAGGTTGCGATGTATATTGGCCCAGCTGACTATCTGGATAGTAAGGTGGCTTTGCCTTGCTGCCATTCTGATGTGTGTGGCACTCATGTAGTGGATCTGGGGCAGAACAGAATACTCCTGGCTGAACCTGGATTTTTTGGGTGGGTAAATATGTGCCCTCTATTTTGTTCTAACAGAGCCCAGATCCAGACTTAACCTCAAATAGGAAGTTGACCTTGTTGATCCTAGTTAGTCTTACCTTCATCTTGTGAGGGGCCCAGGATATTTTACCTGTCACAGACTGTGAAAGATGAAGAGGGTCGATTATAGTGATCTTAATGAGACTTCTCTGAGTCCAAGGTTGATAATGTAATGTTTTGGGGTGGGAAAGGGGGTAATTCCTAAGGTCTCCTGGAGAACTGCATCTTGGATAGTTGGGGCTCTTTTGTAAGATTCTCCCTGTTGTTCAGTTTGCTCTCTACTATGTTCCTTCTGATAATGCTAAGCTTGAATGTTGAAATATTTTTGGAGAACAACAATGTTGTCTGCCTATTACAACTATTACTGGAGGGACAAGGCAAGATTTGAGACAAGGATAAGTAGAAGGAATGCAATCAAAAAGGCTGTTTTTCTTCTGCACTGCCTGCTTCAGAGCTCAACAATTGCCTGCTGCCCAGATTGTCTTCCTACCCAGCTTCTTGGCTAGACTGCAGCTGATAGTAATGTATATTGAAAGTTGTTTTTGTTCTCAGTATCCTTTTATGTTCATAATTTCTTTCTTTTCTAAAACTTTCATTCAATTTTTGGATCCTAAAAATTATTTTAAAATTATTTTAAATTCTCCACCAGATATCTTTATCTTCAGTAGGAAACCTATCCTCTACACTGCCACTGATAACTTTAACATGTTAAATAACTGTGATGAGAAACCTAGTGACTTTAGTCTATTCCCTTGGGACATAATTCCTACCATATTTCATTGTGAGTAGACAAAGTGGTCCTATTTGAGAGGCAATTAAAAAGGGGTGACATCCAATCAACTTCTCATTACTTTCAATGACAGACCAATATGACTTTTGCCATCTATAATGGCCTAGTTCAGTACCAAAAAAAGCAAGAAAATTTGTCTATATAATACTCCTGAAGGATTTAAAAATGTCAGCCAAAAGTTGTCCATGATCAAAGACAAGGGGAGCATAACACCTTTTAAATCCTGGGTCAAAATTTCAGGGAGTTAATTAGTTTGCCTTCTATCCTCTGAACTCTTCTTTGAATTTATACAGACATATAACTTAAGGACTTTGCATTCAAATGGCATGACACAGGCAAAAAAGCAATTTATTCCATGTTACAATTTCACTTGCTCATTGAAGTTCAGAAGAAACATTCCAAGAATGCTGAGGTTAAATTGTACTTGGAGTATCATCTTAATGTAAAGGTGGGTGAATCAAACTTGTGGGCAATATTTTGTTTTGTTTTTTGGTAGAATCCTACAAGTGAGTAGAGGGGAGTAAAGTAGAAAATAGTGGCATAGACATGAAGGAGAATGCAGAACTAAGCAGGAATTTGTTTTCAGTACCTGAACTGAACTCACAACTGAACTGTTCTTGGATTCCCCTGCCCCCATCCCCTACTTTTGTCTTTTCAGTAGCCTAATTAGGGGAATAAGTTGTTACTGCTAAGCAAGTGGCAGTCAGAAATACTTCATGATCTATTGCAAAGAGTAAAAAATCTACTAAAAGATGCCAATCTACTTTCTGCCCCCTCCAGGTATGATGATGTTGAATACTGTGTCATTTTAGATAAAAGCTCTTACATGTTATCTACTCTTGCTCTCCATGGTTGATTACCTCTGTAGTTCAGCTCAGCCTAGATGAATGGCAGATATGAGGCTGAACATAGGAAAAATTATTTGGGCAGTATGTCCCAGCCACCTCTGCTCTGGACTGTTTGCCCTTCCTGAATTTAGGTTAGACAGGAAAAAATGGGCTAGCCATGGGCATTTGCTTCATTCTTATCAGCAATTTGTGGGAACCTGCATTATTAGGCTCACAAGAAGACACAGTCAGCTTTAAAAACTCTGGCCAGAATCCTATTGGTTAGTTCCAACTAGAGTTGACCAATGAATCTTGTTGAATAGTCAACCAACACATAGGTAAAACTCATTGGTTCATTGGGTTTACTCTTGCAGGAGACTAATCAGGGTTTAGCTCTTGCATTCTCAGGTTCATAACATTACCAGCCTGTGTCTAAGAAGAATGAGAATAAGAATATTCATAATTATTTGGCTCTAGGTTAAATAATGAATTTCTTGACAGTTGAGAAATCTCACAAAGAAAAAAAAAGATCAGTGAGAATTTTGTGCCATTTTCTGCTGGTATTTGACTATTTTAATATATTGTGGAGAAAATATTATGTATAAAAAACATGCGGACCTTTTGTGCAAAAAACCCAACAACCCTTTTTTCTGCCCATAAATCTGGTTTTCTTTGCAAAAAAATAAATAAAATAAAACCAAGCCAAAACTACCCCCCCCCAAAAAAAACCCCAGAACCTAGCTCCCACTGCTTCCTTTGTAGGGGACCAGTTTTCTGCCCAGAAAACTTTTTTTAGCACAATTAGTCCCATGTATTTTCCACTGTAGAGCAATTCATAGAATCATAGAGTTGAAAGAGACCACAAGGGCTATTCAGTGGAGCTCCTGCTGTACAGGGATACACAATCAAAGCTCAAATAACTCCACAACACTCAAATATGGGGAGAATACTGTGGAGGAATATGCATTTTCTCCTGCAGCAGGCAAAATTACCAGAATTGGTGTTAATTGCCCTCATGTTGACCCTGACTCAAGGTGACCTTGTGGATGAGACATAGCTAGATTCCCTATCCACCACTGATCTGATTACATCCTATAGTTTCATGACCGTGACAGCCCTGATATCACAGATAAAAACAAACAAACTGTGGTTATGGAGAGCTAACTGTAATTGTTTTAAGTCTATGATATCTGTCACTAGTAGTACAGTGCTGTCTGCATATCTTATATTGTTGATGTTCCTTCTTCCTATCTTCACTCCTCTTCCTACTAAGTCTAAGCCTTCACTTTGAATGATATTTTCTGCATACAATTTGAATAACTAGGGTGATGGAATGCAGCCTTGCATGATTCCTTTGCCAATTGGGAACCATTCTCTTTCTCCATATTCTGTTCTAACTGTATCTTCTAGTCCTGAATTTTTATTTTGTTCTCACATGTGAGAATGAAATATTCAAGGATTTACACCCATAGTCTTTAATATTTTCTTCTGTTTTTAAAGCATGATGTTAGAGTTCATTGGTTGTGGAGCAGTCAAAGACCTGATTGGTTGACTGATTGATTCCTTACTATTATCCCATAACAGGATCCAGGTCAGCTTGTAGCACAATAAAAAACTGTTACAAATAAAAACAGAACAAACTACAATCTTAAAACACAATTAAATAAGGTATATTAAAACACGGGTTAAGCATGGACAGCCATTACAAAATACATGTACCCACTCATTCAAATGCTTTGTCCTTAGAACAAATGTGAGGATTATATCACTTTCTACTTGTTGAGCTGAAATTCTCATAATTACTCCCCACTGGATATGCTGGCCAGGGCTGTTGAGATTTGCAGTTCAGCAACAAGTAGAAAGCCATGTGGTTCCCCCTCTTTCTTTAGCAGCTAATTGATTACTGAATTCCTGCCTGCCTGCTGGATGAAGGACAACATCTTGTCAAGGGAAAACTTTTACCTTTACCTAGTGATAGTGTAGCCCAGCAACATCACAGTCTGAATTTGGTCTTCTTGCAATCAAATTTTTCTTACATAGCATTTTAAAGAAACTTCATAGTGGCTGCAATAGTTTTCTATTTAGGATAACCTAGTGAATTTTTTGTTAAGTTATCTTGTCACCAGACTGTACTTGCACATTTACATTTGACACACAAAAACCTGTTGTTTCTTTTTTAGGCAAAGACAAATGATTTTGCGTCTGCATTCAAGATAATTAAAGTCCATGTTGTGACAAGCCAAATACTTGCCATCTGAAACCATATTCTAATATGCCATTCATTGCCTTGGAATAATTTATTTAAAAAATAAATAAATAAATAGCCGGCTATGTTCTTGGGAAGCACTGCAAGCAACTATCTAGCTATTCTTCATTGTGAAGTGAAAGAATGATAAATGAAGGTATACATAAACACTCAATACTCTGGATAGTTACATGTCATGGCCATTAATTTAATTGGAACCACTGCTTCCTACAATGCACAAGTTTAGACAATGAAACACGGAACACAAATTGTTGTGTTGTTGTGTGCCTTTGAGTAATTTCTGACTTGCAAAGACCCTAAAGTGACTGACTTGGCAAGATTTGATCAAAGAGGGGTTGTCCTTGTCTTCCTATTAGGCTGTTTCTCCATATTCTGTTCTAATTGTGGGTTTCCATGGCTGAATGGGGATTTGAACCCTGCTTTTCAGAGTCTTAGTCCAATGTTCAAACCACTATACCACACTGGCTCTCACACAAATACCTTCAAATAATGCAAAGTCCTGGTTTTAATGTTTATACAGTTTAGGTCAAGGCTGCCTGGCAGACTGTAGCCTGCATCCTGGTAGTGGCTTCCTCCAGATTATGGAACTCACTACCCAGAGAACAACTTATACTTGCACCCTCACTATTTCCCTCTGGCAGACAAGTAACACCATTTTTGTTTTTGTTTCAGCAAGCATTTGATAAGTGACTATATGAAGTATATCACACCTAAGTGCTGGATGCTGCAAATTGTTTTCTGGGTGTGTGTGCACATGTGTGTCTAATGATATACGTTTTAACCTGGTTTTAATTTTTTATTGTTTAATCTTCTTTTAACTTTTGTATCCTGTGAATTTTAACAATTTTTTTAACATACTGTATGCCACTTTAGAATAATAAAATCATAGCGTTCAGAGAGACCACAAGGGCCATCCACTCCAACCCCCTGCCATGCAAGAACATGAATCCCAAACTGCGAAAAAGGCGGGAGAATGAGGGAGACAAGAAGGATGTTATGGACCTAAATGCTGCTGTTAGTCCTTAATAAAGTAGAACCATCAAATTGATGGTATTTTTCTATGTGTTGACTCTCCATTCATGAATTTATCTACCACACCCTCATCAGTTCACAGATGGAAACTAAGGGCCTCTACAGGCCGGCCAAAAGGGCCAGCCTGGAGGCAGATATGGGGAGGGGCAGCCGCACTGCAGTCTCCCCAACCCCACGCCAAGGACATCCTGTTGCCATGCACCATTACGCATGGCACACGGCATCAGGTCATCCTTCCAGCGCAGCATTTTGACACGCTGTGCCAGAAGGGGCACTAAAGAGCTATGCACTGGCTCTTAGGGAAGCCTTTTACCACCTGTAAAAGGAGCGACATTTTTCTGCTCTTTTCTGGGCAGCAAAAGGGAGGATCGGGACCGTGCAGTCTGGCAGCCTCAGCCCCAATCTGCCGCTTCCCGGGGCAGCTTTTTGTTGCCCCTTTGGGCCCGTCTGCAGAGGCCCTAAGACATATATAGCTAAACAACTTCTGAGTGTAGTCTAGATGGGGGGGGGGTTAATGGGGAAGAAAACACAAGCTAGGACAGGCTGCAGCAATTTGCTTTTGCCTGAGCCTACTGGGAAGGTCAAAATTCCACCCTTTTCTCCTGCTGAGTTTTCAATGGCAGGCAAAGACTGTCAACAGGTTTTTGAATTGAAGGCTTATAACAGGGTGGTATATTGTTCTAAACTGTATTGTTTTGAGAGGGGTTTTAACTTTCTAAGTGTGTTTTAATTTTTTAAAATATTGTTAATATTTTAATTTTATTTTATGTTGCCTTTTAAAAAGTTTTTAACAATATTGTAATAGTTTTAATTTGTATGTCACCTTGAGTCTCAAGCCTGGAGGAGAGGCAGCTTATGAGTAAAAATGATGATGATGATGATGATGATGATGATGATGATGATTTCTGTCTCTCATCCATAAATATGGATTTTTATATATAGTTTGATTGGAACCTCTAATTAAAAAGCAAACTGTCAAATTCCAGAAATATCTAGTTTCTGAAGAATTTGGAGAAAACTGTGGAATTTTTTAGGATTGTTAGACAAGATTTTTTTTAAAAAAACAAATCAAGATGTCTGAGTGTGTGCTAAATAATATAACAAATGACTGTTTTTAATATGGTCAGGATTCAAAGAACTACTTTAGGTTCACTTAATTTAAATATTTAAACATGGAGGGTAGGATGTTTTGAATCAGTGAAATAATGCCCTCTAGATCAATTTACAATTGGTCTCCCAAATCACCTTATCCCTGACAGTTGAAATAACTTAGGGCCTTTGCAGACTGCCAGAAATAGTGCACATTAAATTCAGGCACATTTCCTGGCTCAGTGCTAGGGAATCATGGGAACTGTAATGTATTGTGGCACCAGAGATCTCTGACAGAGAAGGCTCAATGTCTCAGAAAAAAATACAATTCCCATGACTCCCTAGCATTGAACCAGGGCAGTGCCTCAATTTAATGTGCACTATTTCTGGCAGTCTGCAAAGACCCGTCGTTTGTCCAAACCAATTACAAGGCAAAAGAGATTTATTTTATTTTATTTTATTTTATTTTATTTTATTTTATTTCAGTGCAGCAAATAAGACATTGGCTTGATACTATCCATGCTGTATCAGACCAATGCCTTATTTATTCCAGCATTTTGTTTACAAAGTGATGATCCATATCCATATAACCACAAAAAGGTCAAGAGTGAAATACCCTGTGAAAGGTCAAGAGTGAAATACATGCCCTCTTTGCTATTGTTTTGGTAGGAGAAGAGGTTTCTTTCCCCTTTGTTACTTAATGTTTCATACTGCTATAAATATAAACTTGGGATCAAGCCCACCTCTTGGCCATCCATCTTTGGCCATTCTATACAAGGGGCATGGATTTTTGGATCCTGCTATGTTTTATTCACTATTTAATATACTGCTTTAAAAAATAATGAACTGTTTTCCTTTAATGAAGAAATAATACAGTATTAATTCTTCCATTTATATAATACAAATTTCAGTAAGCACATAATGTTCCAAATATTCCACTTGACACAAAATTGTTAAAGCTTATTCTTATTACCTTCTAGATTTATTTATCTAAATGAAATGGAATAGAGACAAGTTGCTATGGAAACTGAAGATGTTGGGAACAATTTTATTTCTTCTTAATTGCTGCAAATTTGTATACAAACATCATAACCATATCTTCTCTTTTCAGAAACTTTGAAGATGCAAGAATAAGTTTGACTTTGAATTCTCCACTGATAGTGAATTTAGCTGTAAAGAAGATATGGCAAGGGACGATGCAGATGTCAGTGTTAAACTTCATGCAGACAAACAGTTTTTGAAACCTGAAAACTTTTTTTGTTAATAATGCTGTAAGGCTAAATTCGTTGGAACTGTTCTACTGGGGATGTATAATACACAAGTTTATACTGATAGCTTCCTTCAGACAATGCAGCCCTGAAAATGGGATTTTAAATTTAGAGAAATGGCATATTACACATTCAAAACCTCACATACCTCTCCTTGAACAACTATATTGCCAGTGGGTGGGAAGCAGGAAGAGGCAAGTGACCTAAGTTCCTAAACAGGCCTTGGTTCTTGATGGTGGACATCCACAGCACATGAGAAGCTTCTTGCCTGCTGGGAGACAAGGACAAGGTGGCCTGGCCATTGTGGGATGGAAAGAGATGAAATCTCATGACCTCTTGAGAGATTTTATGAATTCTAGAGAGCTTACAAAGTGAGAAAAAAAGATAATTCAAGAAAGTCTGCATAAGGTGTCACTGCATGTGAGCTGACTCAGTTGACTTCAGGTGGCTTAGGACCTCTGCAGACTGGCTCAAAGGGCTGGCCTGGAAGCTGAGTTGGGGTGGGGCAGCTGCACGCCAACCCCACGCTGACGCCATCCTGATATCATGTGCCGTTACGCATGGTGTGCGGTGTCAGGGCGCCCTTCAGAGCAGCGTTCAAACACGCTGTGTTGAAAAGGGCACTGAAGAGCTGTGTGTCAGCTCTTAGGGTGGCCTTTTGCCACCCCTAAAATGAGTGGCATTTTGCCAGTCTTTTTAGGGTGGCAAAAGGGAGGATCGGGGCCATGGTGTGGGGTTGCTGCAGCCCCGATCCACCACTTACCGGGGCAGCCCAGAGCTGCCCATCTGCAGTCCCCCTTACTTCTCTCAGAGAAGCACTTGAGGCCTGATATTGATGATTGCATACATTATTGCAGCCTGTACATGATAATCAAAGGTCTGGAAATCAAGAAGCAACTGAGGGCTTTGCAGACAGGTGACCATGGGCTGCTCTGGGAAGTGGAGGATTGGGGCAGAGGCTGCCCCACATCTTGGCCCCAATCCACCTTTTTGGAGTCTGGGAAAGGAGTGCTAAAATAGCTCTCCTTCCTCAGGCACCAGAAAGGGCATCGGAAGAGCCATCACATGGATCTTCCGCATCTCTTCCTGCTCAGCCTGTGCAGAGGCTGGACTGGGAAGGCGTCATTGGAGCGCTAGCCATGTATAACTGCGGGCACTCCAATGATGTCCTTGGGAAGGGGTTGGGGCATCCGTTGTCTGGTTGTCCCTCCCCTTCCCTGCCTCCAAGATGGTGCTTTGCACCGTCTGCAGAGCCCTTGAGTGAGTTCAGCCCTTGAGTGAGTTCAGAAGGGGCATTTCATTGCACTTCATTCTTTAAATCTGCAAGTTGCAAATTTGTGGAAGGAAGGCAGGTTAGAGCCGGCACTGGTGACAACCAATCAGGACTGAGCTAGCAAATGTTGGTCTAAGTGGGGAATTCCATTAGGAACAGTTGGAAGTCAGATAGATTTGGATTCCAGACA